CGCCATGATACCGCGCCCGCCCGAGTCACCGACTCCCACTGAACTGCCCGCACGCAAGTGCTGTTTGAAGATGGCGCAGTCCTGGCCGGTGGCAATGCCCGCGCCTCTCTACCTCTCACCTTAGTGCGCGCTGCCCTTCAGGCGCACGCCTCTTTGGGGGGCATCCCGACTAGCTGTACGGGCTCTGTCCCCCATGGGGTGGGTATAGCAGACAGGCCCTATGGTACGTCCATCCCTCTCACAGGTTATCAGCCTTTCTTGCTTTGCCTTGCGGGCCACGTGACCGTCGTTGACACTCCCGGTTGGAAGCTACATTGGCGGTTTTGCGTAAGTGGTTAGTTCCCCGCATTGCGTCGGTGGTAACGCCAATGTTTGCCAACGCGCTGATTTTACAATGCTTCCAACACGGAAGAGATATTCCTCCGTAGCCATTTTGGCTCAAGCTTTTGGGTGGCAGTGTGGGCCTCGCGCCGTGTCCCGAACGCCGCCCCCTTGATGTGGAAGGCACACTTCCAGGATGGCGGCTTTATTATGGTGCCCTTCAAGACTGTGTGGCACGCGCTCCTGCTCAGCGCCAGCTGCCCAGGCGTTTTTGCCAGCAACAAGAAGAACATTGCGGAAGCGGAGTCCACAGTACCGATGTGGCTGCCCGCTGCTATCGCGGGTGTCGTCTTGCTAAGCTTCGCTGTGAAGCAACTCGGCAGCGGCCAGTCTCGAGGTAAGCAGGGCGACAGCGACAGCGACAGCTCCGAAGACGAACGCAAGCCGAAGAACGACCACGCCAAGCGCCACTGAGCTTACGCATTGTGCGTGCGTGTGGGCATGGGGGATGGGGGGGGAGAGGGGGTGGAGGGGGAGGAGGAGGAGCGTTGGCCCCCAGAAGGAGGCCCCGCGCTGCCCGCAGAGGCCCCACCTGGGTAGTTTCTCAGGGCCTGCAGTCTCCTGCCTCAGATGCGGACGCAAAGCCACCGCGAGGAAGGAACGCGCCAAATTCCGTTTCCAGGAGTGCCTGGGTCGCACGGTGTGTAGGAGGCCAGGAGGCCTGGTCCCCCCTCCTCCTCCGACCTCCTCCTCCACCACATCTCCCTTCCTCGTCCCTTTCCACCGGACAGCGCAGCCTGCCCGGAATCAGCGTGCCGGCATGTAGGGTTTCGGCATGTGGAGCGGCGGCGGGTCCGCTGGCAGAAGCCCGGCCAACCAGTTCGATACTGGTATGAACGGGAACGACTCGGTGTTAGCACCGTTGCTCAGATATGTGGACGGGGCCCCACCGCCAGCGTGGTGCCCCGAGCGTTCAGTATGCCTTTGGGCAAAAAAAAACACGGAAGAGATATTCCGACAGCCCCCCCATTGTCAAGATTATGTTGTTTGTTCTCTACTCCTCCATTGTCCTTATCCATGTGGCCGTCCCTCCGTTTTGTTATGCCCTTGGCATTGTGGCCGTCGTTCTCAGGCCCATCGCGTGTTTGCAACTATATTTTTGCTACCCTTCCCGACCAGAGCCTCTGCAAGACAGCCTCCGAGCGAGGTCCAGGCGAAAGGCCGCGGCCTTCCCGACCGACGCCTCTGCGTGACAGCCTCCGAACGAGGTCCAGGCGGAAGGCCGCGGATGGCGGAATTTGGTTGTTGGTATCCCGCCCTGGGCATGATTCCCAGTGTCGAGGTTATCAGACCATTATTTATTTCTCTTTGTTTCTTTCTCTTTCTCTCTCTCTCTCTCTCCCTCTCTTTTTTTGGGGGCGGGGGGGGGGGTTCTCTCTCTCTCTCTCTTTCTCTTTTTTTTTGTTTCTCTCTCTCTCTCTCTCCCTATTTATCGCTTCGCTCATTTTTCCGGCCCTGGAGCGCTATTTGGGGCCTCTTGGGGCCGTCTTGGGGGCTTCTTGGGGGCTTCTTGGGAGCGTCTTGGGGCTCCTTGGCGGCGTATTGGGCTCCCCTGGGGCCTCTTGGGGGGCTCTTGGGGGCCCCTTGTGGCGGGAGGGGGGGTAGTCGATTGCAGCCTCCCCCCTCGGAGGCCACGATCCTCGTGAGGGGTGGCGAAAAATAGCCTCCCCCCTGGGGATCGCCCGGGGATCAACCGGGGGTCGGCCGGGGTACTTTTCGTCCGGGGCCCCCCAGGGGCGGCCCCGCGCGCGCGAACTAGAAATATTGTTAAGTAGTTACTGGAGATCTTAGCACGCCTTTGGCCCATTGGGCCTCCGATTTTTTTGTTTTTTATTTCCTCTCTCTCTCTCGTCCGTCCACCTGGCTGCCGGCGCTTGCCCCCCTTTTTCGTTGCGCTTCTGTGCGCGCGCGTGGCCGCCGGGCCCGCGTTCATCTTGGGGCGGTGCCGTCAGATGTCGCCCCTGGCTTGCGAGCGGGCCGCGCAGGCGAGCAGGAGAGGCCGCGGCCCCCGCGCGCGAATCCGAGGTCCAGGCAAATCTTGGCCATTGCTATCGTCTCCGCCTGTGTTCTCTGGTTCGCCCAGGTGCAGGTGTTCCAATTCCCCCTGTGCTTCCCGAGACAGGCGAGGGGCCTCTGCGTGGGGGTCGCGGCCCCGCAAACTGGCGCGTCTCACCGCGGAGCACAAGCAGGCGTGCTCGAGATGGCCAGGGCCCAGGCCCCTTTGATCAGAGCAGCCCATGTTGGGCGGGGTCGGCGCGCCCTTAATCGCGAGGGGCAGCCGATTTTGGGCGGGGGCCATGCCCCTCTCGTCGTGGAGAGCAGGCCAATTTGGGTTGGGTGGTATTAACCTTCCATGTTGATTCACTTTCGGTGCTCCTGCCCCCGCTCGGGGCAGCTGAGCCCTGAGGGGCCACTGGTCGAGCTCACATCGTTTACGTTGTTCCCGCAAATCGGCCCCGCGGTTGCGTCCCCCGGGTCGAATGGGAAGAGTTCCGCCTCCGCGCAGGTGCGCGTCGACGTGCTCCTTCTCTCGGGCATTCCCGCAGTCCTGCTTTCTTTCTCTGTCGTGTTCGCCAGGTGCATATCATGCTCTTCTCCGACAACTGGAGGCCTCCCACAGTCCTTCCCGCAGGTGTACATCGTGGCGTTTCTCTGCGACCGCCTCTCTTCGCATGCTCCCGCGGCGATGTTGCTGCTTCTTCTTTGCGCCCCTGCCGGGCCCTGTCGGCGCTCCGCTCCATCTTCGGGCGCCCCCAGTGGGCAGTGGAGCCTCGTGGGCGCCCGCCGTCGAGCTCGCATCCGTTGTTTACTTCCGCCGCGCGCCCCTGGTGTCGCGAAGGGGAGGTGCGGGGGGTGGCGCAATCGTGGCCGGCGGCAACGCGCGCGCCTCTTTATTGCCCGCCTCCTGTTACGTTTTCCTCAAAGCGCGCGCGTATCTGGGGGGCGTCGCTTTGTTTCCCGGGGGGGTTGCGTAGAAGACTGGCCCTATGGTGCGCCCATCCCTTGCGCAAGTGTTGCCTGCGACGCGCGGCGGGGAGTTCCCAGCGGCCATCGCCCCAGCGGTCAGCGCCGCCGCGGCCGCGTCGGTCGCGGCGGACTAACTGGCCGTTCTGCGCGCGAGCCTGCGCGCGCTAACGCGGCCGCGGCGGCCCCCCCCAAAGCCGAACGGTCATCGCAGTCGCCGCCGCGTTGGTTTTGAAATCCACGTTGCGGGTGGGCGGGTGGGATGATTGCGCGAGCAGTGGATTTGACAATTCACCGCGAACAAAAATTAATAACACCACGTCGACAGAACCACACTGTTGCACTACATTTGCTGCTTAACGCACATAACACCACATAGTTTACACCGCATAACTTGCGCCACGCAAGTTGCATCACACATGTTGCAAACAAGCGTTTTGCACCGCGTAACGTATGCCACAGAGTTGATAGTACATAAGCTGCGCCCCAAGGATTGCACCACGTATCTATTGTACCGCATAGTTCCACACAAATTTCACAACCTTGATTGTCCAGCGCCGGTGCGCCACATATATAACACCACAAACATGGTACCACATACGTCGTACCGTATATCATGCGTGCGCCACGCACATTGCATCACATAGACCGCACATTCCAGTATTCGCCAACTTTGTAGAATAACATTGTCATGTTTTGTTGCGCCACTCATTTTGCACTTCCATATGTATGTACATGTTTGCTTTCGCTACGTATATGACACCACGTAGCTTGCACCATAGTTGCATATATACACATGGATACACACGTACACGTGTTTGTATGTCTGTACGTATGTATGTTTGTTTGTATGTATGTGTATACATTAGGGGGCCACATGCGAACCTTACCCCATACCCCCCCACCACTTCTGAGGGGGAGGGTGGGGTTCACTTTGTTCGCGAGCTCCCGAAAGGAATGGACCCCACCTTCCCCTCAGAAATCGTGGGGATCGCATGTGGCCCCTTTTACATGTACCTGTTTATGTACATGTTTATGTATAACTATATGTAAGTGACTATGTTTATGTATAGGTATATGCATATGCATATCCACATGCTTATGTATATGGTTATGTATATGTATATGTACCGCATTATGTATATGTACAGCTTTATGTGCATGTAAATGTATTTTTTTTAATAATGTTAGTGCACGACATCAATTGTACAACGTTGTTTGCACCACATATATGGCAATACGCTAGTTGCATCATGTAGTGTGCTAGTGCACGCTGTTTGGGGTTAGTCTGGCTAACGCCTTCAAAAATCCATCCGTCCTCCGGTAATTCGTCCGGAAGGGTTTTTTATCACCCTTTTCCCCTCATTCCAAACGGTTTCACCCACCAGCTCACAGAGCGTGTTCGCTGACAAGCCTTGCCAGCTGACACGTTCATGGGTGTGCCATAACAAACATCCCCTTGAGCGTCTGTGTTTTTTATGCCTAAGCAACTTGCTGTCTATGGTCTGAGTGGGCCTCTGGCAAGATGTGCATACACAACTCGCTTCCCTTGTAGCACTCGGTTCAGGTGCTTGTTCTGTCAGTGTTTGTCCTGGCACGGGCCTCATCCCTCGCCTCACTTTCCTCTTCCCCCCCGTCCAGTCACCTGTCGGCAGGCTGCTTGGGCTGATCAGTACCTCGACTGGCGTATCTGGTTGTCCTGCTGCGGTCTGGTATTGGCCACATGGGGCATGATGGTGGGAGGGGAGGCCGAGGTGGAGAGCATTGCCATGGAAACATGTCTTGATGCAGCGAAAGCGGCCGTCTCTACGAGCACCGCCGAGTTCTCTTCTCTGCCCAGGTATTGTTACATTATGGTTTGGCTTATAGGATCTCTTGGGAAGTTGGGATCCAATCCGCATGAGGTGATACCGACTGATGATGCACGCACGCCATCTTACCATGGTTGTGTGTCTATGTGTGTGTGTGTGTATATTGCGGCCCTCGTTTCGTTCTGCCAGCTCACTGTGCGTGGATCAGAAACCTCAGGTGTTCTCTTGGGGGCCCTGTTGGGGGCTTTCTGGAGGCCCCTTGAGGGTATCTTGGGGGCCTCTTGGGGGCCTCGTGAGGCGTCCGGGGGTCCTCTCGGGGGCTAGCCGGGAGCCTCTTGAGGGCTTGGTGAGGGCCTCTTGAAAGCCTCTTGCGGGCCTCTGGGGGTCTCGAGTCCGTATTGGAGGTGTGGCTTCCAGCGGTCTGGTGGTGGTGCCCCATTCGGAGCCGTCTAAGAGGCTTGCTGGGCTTCACTTGGGAGCCTCGAGGACCGCCTAGGCCCGATCTTTGGGGAACAATATGGGCGAGTGTGCCCAGCGTCAGCGAAGAAGCCGTGTCGTTCTTGGACGTCCGAACGTCTGCGCTGTTGTTTTTCTTGGGTCCCCACCAAGGGGAGCTCCTGGACTGCGATTCCGCTGTGCCGACCAGCTGCCTAGGGCCCGAAGTGTGTTTACGGTAGGTTCATGCGGCGATGGCGCGCTGGCGACGCCGGCGAAGGCGTTCAAGGTTGGACTCCGCATGATGGAACGGCGCGGAAACACCGAGGGACACGGTGGCGCCACACGACCCGACGGAGTTCAACCTTGAACGATCGGGGCCGCGACCAGTTCAAGGTTGGACGATCGGAGCGGTGTCATAAGCCTTTCCCCGCGCCGACGCCGCACGAACCTAACGCAGCCTGCTTTTGCTCCACGACCCGCGCGCACCTGTCGGGGAACATTCCGGCGGTGCACCGCCGCTCCCCCAGGCAGGCCGATGCATGGCCCACAGGAGGGGCGCAGGCGCACGACGGCCTGCGCCCCGCTGCGCCGGCATCGGGTTCAAGCGCAAACGTGGGTCGGGGCGCGCGGATCTGCGGCGGGTCCCGGCTCCGTACGGTAGGTTCGTGCCGTGTCGACCTGGGCGCTGGTCCCTGACGCCGCGAGGATCGTTCAACCTTGAGCGATCGGCCATTTCCGTAAGGTCTGATCGTTCAACATCGACCGATTTTGGGCCTCCGCCGGCATTCAATGTTGAACGCCGGCGTCGGGGTCGCCGCCGGTCGACACGACGCGAACCTACATCATTCGGTGGCGAGCGCGGGGGGAAAGTGAGAAGGATAAGGCCCTTTCGGAAGGCGGCGGGGCTGCTCAGGAGGCCTCGCGCCCTCCGAGAGGTTTCCCGTGTCTCCGGGGAAGACTCGGCAAACTTCTCAGAAGGCCGGGGGACTTCCGAGCCTTCTGAGACGGCCCGCCCTTTCTTTTTTCCCCCAAGGCTCGCCGCCGATACATGGATTAGGGCGCGCGGATCAGCGGCGTGCCCCGTTTCCGTACATCATCGGCGCGCTCCGTCGCCAAATCAGACGGCATTGGTCTGAGGCTTCGCTGCGGATGGCGCGCCCACGCGCCATGTCAGCGCGTGTCCGATGGCAGACGGGAGGGAGAGCCACGCGAACCCGACAGTTGGAGTGTGCCGTGCCAGCCCGTGCCGCTAGACACGGCTCCGCTCCGTTCGATTCTTTCGGTCGGCGCGGTTCATAAGCAGGCCTCGGTTGCAGGGGAACGCGCTCTTCTGCAGGTGATTCGTCCGCCCTTTGCTCAAGACCAAGGGCGCCCCTGCAGCCAAGATGCGGAGATCAGGACCATTGGCGTCAACCCAACATGCTTCTACTATGTGTGCGTGGCCCCCCCAGGGGCGCCGCGGGCACCGAGAAATCTCAGAGTACATCCGTCGTGGCGGGCGCTTTCCGGCCACACCGCTCGGGAAACGACATGCTACAAGATGGGTATACTATCTGTTCGGGTCGGACGCGCACCTCCGAGGAGGACATAATAGTCTTAGTATGTCTCTGTGCGTCCCAGACCACTCTGGGCTCCCCCAGACTCGTGTTGGGGAGCCTACTCTTGGCCGAGGCTCGCCGTCGCCAGCAAAGCTCCACTGCTCCTTGCTCGGCGCTCCTTCTGTTTAGCATTAAGTCGGGCCTGTCCCTCTCCTGGGGGAATATTCAAACCTAGTTGAACATTCTTGAGTATTGTTTTGGCTGTTTTTGATTTTTCGTCCACAATCCGCCCGTAGGGGGACATGCCCGACCTAAGTTGAGCACGACGACGGCAGGGAGACACATGGCGCGGGTGACTCGTCCGCCCTGTGTTCAAGGCCAAGGGTGCCCCCGTGCGCCTGAGGTCCCTCGAGTTCCTTCTCGATCTCCGCGCCTTGTCCCTCATCGGGACAGATGTGTGTCCTCTCGGACAGTGTGCTACATGCTGTGGCTGTTTTTGCCCAATCCCGAGGCATCTGCCAGGTGCTCAATGTGCGTCGCAGTCGCAGTCGCAGTCGCAGTCAGAAGAGTCGGACGTCGCAGTCGCAGTTTCAGTCCGAAGAGTCGGAGGTCGAAGTCGCAGTCGGAAGAGTCGAAAGAGGTCGCAGGCGGAAGAGTCGGAAGTCCAAGACGAGGTCGCAGTCGGAAGAGTCCCGTGTCCTCTCGGATGCCGGCCGTGTCGTTCGTTTTTCTATCCCATCTGACCATTCGTCCCTACGGCCTCTGCTTTTCGCTGGCCTGCTACCTTCAAGCCCCTCTTCCGCCTCCTCCTCCTCCTCCTCCTCCTCCTGCTCTCCTCGTCTCCTCGTCTCCTCCTCCTCCTCTCCTCCTCTCCTCCTTCTCTCCTCCTCTCTTCCTCCTCCTCCTCCTTCTCCTCCTCCTCCTCCTCCTCCTTCTTGACCTCCAGCCTTCTTCTCATCCTCCTCTCTTTCTGGTCCCCATCTTTCTTCTTACTGTCCTCCGCCTTCTTCTCGCTGGGCAGGTGCGCATCATACCCACGGGCGTCACGCTGACCCTGTACGCGGTGAACGCGTCGTTGGGGCTGCTGATCGTTGGTCCCCAGGCGCTACCCCGTCCTCTGCAGTGCTCTCGAGGTCGATGCGAGCGACGCGGGCCCTGTGCATGGACGCAAAATGCGCAGGAGGAGGTGAGGGAGAAAGGAGGAGGAGGAGGAGGAGGAGGAGGAGGAGGAGGAGGAGGAG